TAAAAGATTTGTGCCAAACAATTGGTTGCATTATATATGGTTAAAGTGTGTCAGCATATAGCTAAAGGTGAACCTTTCAAATTTCAAATCAATTAAGTGTCATAAAAACTTAAATCTGCAACAATGAATGTAAAACGATATTTATCAAGGTGGAATAATATAACGAGGATATATTTTCAGAAGAATTGGAGAATACGTTACTACTTGAAATCGGACAGGAGATAGGGACACGATATGTTGAGCTGGGTACTCACTTAAAACTGAAACAGTCGACAATAGAATTCATTCGGGAGAACCATAAGCACAATGCTGAGCAAATAGGGTTTCATGCATTGATGCAATGGAAGCGGGGACAGGCGGAACAGCAAAGAGAGTTGCTCGAAAAGGCACTTAAAAAGATGAAAAGAAAAGACTTGGTAAAAAAGGTTAAAAACTATAGAGCAAAGGTCTCGTGTAAAGTTTAAAGAACGCTCAGAGTGAAGGAAATCGACTGAAATGCATGAAATAGCCAGAATCTCCGTACTTCCAAAACTTGTATTTTTGAATGACCCATCATATGAATAAATGAAATAAATGTACCCAGAAATCATGAACGAGTCCAGGGTTTGAATACCTTTTCATTTTTATTTTGTTTCCCAGTTTGGCTTACATAATTTATACTTTGAGACACTTTGTAACATCAATAATAAATGTAACTAACAATATGCCATTTTTAAATATTTTAGCTTGTGATAAGACATACACCCACTAGGGTGTCATTATCACTTATGTGTATATATGTTTATATGATTTTAATAAATAAAAAAAAAAAAAAAAAAAAAACATTGACCGAGTTGAAATAATGATAAGATAGTACCTGGTAATGTGCAAAAATACCAGTTTAGCATTTGACTTTCACTGCAACACACATTCATTCACCCAGCATCCTTGTACCACACTAAAGAATTCTTCTTAGCTCAGAAATATAGAATGTAACGTAAAACAGTGAGTTAAATGTCAATTACGTTGAAGACATTTTGTTTGTAAAATAAAGACAAAATACTTGAAAATATGACTTTTGACTTGTAGTGCTTCGCCCACGTTTTCCTACTCGGAATCTCTAGTCCATTCATTAAACATCCAGAGAAACCTACACATTTGCACATTTTTCTAGAAATGATGCAGGTAGCTTGAGGATATCCACATTGGAGGATTATTAAGTTTGTATCCCCATAAAGAAATACTTCTACTTTGTTCCCCTTGTATTTAAAATAAGAGTATCCGAAATAAAAAAAACTTAAAAATGCTGCCAGGAGTATACAGAACAAATAACATGAATTGTTGTTTTGTTCGCATGGCCACAATTCCATGAATGTGAAATAACATTAATTTGTAAAATTGCGAGAGTTCCAACGTGATTTAAAAATTAGATCACAAAGAACCTAGTGTTAAGTATAATTTCTGTTTTCTTGGAACATCAAGTTCAGAGAATCGACTGATCGAATTGGACATATATCAGCCAACTTTCGATAAGGAATACTAAAATACTTTTCCCATATTTTATCAAATTGATGAGCATGAAAATTATTTACATACTTAAGGTGATAATTTCGTATGTATAAATTGTACATGCAGAATTAGATTGACACTTTGATAATTAGACAACAACAATGCCAAGAAAATCCCATCTCACTGTCATAGCTGCCATTCCTACAAAATCCCCCCACTACTCTTTCAGTTATAGCACAAATAACACACGTCACATAAAAATGGTCATCATTTTTTTAAATGGCCACAAACTGCAAATTGTAATAAAAAGAGCAATATGCTTCTAGGTAGGCACATATAAACAAAATCGCTGCAGTACCTTTTAAATTATTGTAAAAACGTAAATACAACACACATAAAAATAGTGGCCATTTTTTCAAAATTGCTGCCTACTTGCCAAAGTGTCAAAAGACAGTGCGCCATGCTTATGAGTATTCAAATATCAAAATATGAACAATATCGTTCCATTTTACTGGTCCAACAGTATTTACGTGCGTGCGGACGTATGGGTGGACGAAGCTTCTCTCTTAAAATAGTCTTATTTAATTGTTTATAAACTACGTCCAACTACCTCCTGGCCCTAAAACTGTTTATTAAGCCCAGTATACACCAATGGGGCAAAATCGCGTCCTATCTTACCCTATCGAATCCCAACTTGCCCCATCAAATCCCAAGGAGTCCCATGATTTTGCCCCACAGACCCCATGGGACAAAATTCCAACGAGATCCCACGCAAATGTCAAGTCTGGAGGTTCTAACTTGCTCCATAGGTGTATGTTGAGCTTTAGACAACTTTTAGCAATCAACCAATTATTAAATCAGGCCAGATCCATATAACCGACACTTTAACCTTTCAAATGGTATATATTGGAATCAAAGGAGAAATTATGTCATTTATTTCTTATAAGAAACGGATTTTGAAGCTCTCGATCGTCTATTCATACAAGTGCGTGCGCAGTTACCGTATACCATTCTTTCAACCAATGATGAGGGGGTGCGAATTAAGTTTAAGTACTTTTCTGATTAACTGTGCCACCCCCTTTCACATGATGCCCCAGAGCTAATTATGGCTACATGTGTCATTGATTGGTAAGTAAAATCAATCTACCTTGATTACGTATTATATTTTTGATAGTTTGGTCAATTTTTGTATTGAAATATTCAGAAATAACAGTTAAAACGAAGATTGTCCGTACTAGTTTTGATTGTTCTACCAGGAAAACAATGGAGTTCTCTCATTTGCATCATCACGATCCTTGTCACAGACAGTTGAATTTAGAAAGCAGGGTGACACAGCAGAAAACACAATCGCCACTTAATCACATTTCCCTGTTTATTTTGTATTAATCCTTATTTTGTTAACCAATTAATATGTAGTTAATGATGTGACCGGATTGCAATACCATGGAGTAAAATAACCGCAAAACGGTACAGAAAAAGCACTTAGGTCTGAGAAAATTCACCCTTATACAC